ATCACTGAAATTCGGAAAATTACTTATTGATTAAAAAATAGTGAATATAGAATACCAAAACATACTTCATTAAAGAAAGGTTAGCGAACCCAATATCTGTTTTCTCCAATTTTCATTTCTTAGATACAAACATATTTATGAAGTATTATGATGAACACGTAACTACGTCATTCCGTCAGAGGTAAGTTTACATAATTACAATGTTAAAATCCAGGATTCAGTTCTCCGCAATGGACACAGCAGATAATCTAATGTAGCTTTGCTCTAAAACAAGCAAACAAACACATCCCATATATATAATAAAAACCAAAATATACGAAAGCCAGTATATAATATTGAAATTTCAGTATCAAGTCTTTGTTTAACACAAAAATACACAATAGTCTATTTCTGTTGTGCCCTCCGCGGGTATCGAAACCCAATTTTGTAGTGTCATAAACTCCCAGAGTTATCGCTAAGCCACAATATTAAGTGATGGCGTCTCTAAATGTTGTTATTTGACATCTTTCCATCTTAACTTTAACTATTTGAATATTCTATGGTATACTGCAGTTACATTCTTTGGTTTGTTCTTTAAAGAGATTAGAAAAATAAATCAGTAATTTATTCTAACATTCATGTATGTCTTTAGGGTAAGAGTGCGACATAAGGTATCTATATATTGGAAATTAAAACTTCAGAACTGTAGCTTCTACATGTTTCCTTCGTATATTATGATATGCAAAATTCACATTGAAAAACATACTTAATTATGCTATTTTTGTAACCGGCATACTATACATAAAGTAAAGCATAAATATTCTAATATGACTAATGTAAATCCTCTTTCACCGTTATATCTTTTAAATAGGAATTAGAAAAAGTATACATTGCGTCATTGTTCGAAGTCGCCATATTTTTTATGGCACATAGAGAGGAAACTTAGATTTCTGTGAAACCTAAAGTTTTCTTTGTTTTATTTCTTCTTTTTGTATGATATAAGCAGCATTTCAACTAAGAATTTGTAACCCAACCGGACTTGTGAGCCCTGGCACTATGCGAAAGACTTCGTCGGCAGTGCGCAAAATAACAGTGCATGATGTGATTTAAGTTATCATCATTCTTATTGTGATGTAAAATCACGAACGTTTTACTATTAAATGTCATGGACTACCAACAATGCGTTCTACACCGGCTCTAATACATGTTATCTGAAAAAAAAAACAGAACAAAGAGAACTAACGTCTAGCAGGTGACTTGTGTAATCGATAGCTTGAAGGTGCGTGTGTGTGTGTGTCTTTGGAGGAGCCCTTTTAATCGGTATGACTATCAAACATTCTATTCCCCTCTCTTTCTAGCTCATCAGTGAATAGCCCTTGATATAACTTGGTTCACTTCAAGATCCTGATTCTCTCAGTTAGCTAAACAAATGAAAAAAAATATGTTCTCGGTGGTGGCAGGAGGTATTGATAATTATGATTTCTAATTGCTAATTTCCAGATGGGAGTGATTGACGAAAACAGTGGAAAGTGTCAGGAATTGAACTTGGAGAGAGTTCAGATTAAAAAAAGATTTCTCGGCGGGGAAAGGCCCTGCTTTCTGCTTTCAGTGTTGCAGGCTCCACTTCTGACACCATTCATTATGTTGTACTCGCACTCTGCTTCCCCTTCAACTTTATTAAGGCTGTATTTATTTCTATCAAGAACTGATTCACACTAATTGCTGTTTATTACAATAATCAACAACACATTAATTTAAAACCAGGTCGTTCTGACAACTCCTGATCTTTTTTTCCCCTCCTGTTAAACGCCTGTCTTTTATACTCCTGTTTCAAAAACCATACCAACAGGTCGTTTTCTTTTATGGCCTAGCACCAGTTACTCATAATTAGGATTATAATATATCATAATCATAGGGAGTTCCGTAATCTCCACAGTGGCTACACAAGAAAGGTGGACGTTCCCTCCAATATTTTTTAACACCTTAGTGCTGTAACCTCCTAATTAAAAGCCGACCGCTTTATCACCTTTCTCAACCGACGTTATTTACACTTAATTTTTTAACACTCAGATTCTCTGACATCCATTCATTTAGTCCCTCTTTTTTGAAAATCCTGGATCCATATCTGAGTCGTTTTACATTTTTTCAGCACATTTCCCACAGTGGATTTGTTGATGATCCAATAATCATTACTTTTTAAAAGTCCATAACCTCATTTTACCTACAATCTGAATCCCAACTGGCTATTTGTGACAATTGGTGACCATTATACATTATATGCAACAGAACAAGATGTGATTTGAAACATTCACATTCAATAGAAACGGGTACGCTACTAACCTGGTGTAATATAGTGTACATGCTAAAATCTCAAAGTCTAGTTCTCAGACCTCTCCCCATTTATACACTATTTAATTTATGCTGAGTGTCACGTAATAAAAAGGACACATATTTATTCACTGTCCTTATCTTTCAAATCATTGTCATTTCATAATATATAACAGCGATATCTAATCTTCAGCTAATACTAACAGACTATGTCTGATCGTATTGTGATATGTGGGCATACTGTGTTTTCTATACTCTTAGCTAATAGATATTTTTGTTTAATTTTCAGTGTATTTCAGATTTATTCTTAGTATTGGTCAAGGGAACAACTAAGTATCTCCGTCTTGGTTATTCACGGAACTACATCAGTAATCCAGATCAATTTTTGTGGTTTCCATTAGGGAGATCACTGTATCATGAACTATGGTATGAATAGAAGCAGTGATGTGTTCAGTCAGCGAACAACGTGATTGCCTACGGATCTGACACCCCTTATTTACATCAGCATGACCCTCAGTCACATGGATAGCGTGTGCGCCTGGGGAGAAAAAACTACGTACATATTGAGTTTTTCTTTGCTTGAAAAGGCCCAGAGTGTTTTTCAGAAATTAGGTATTATTAATGAAATTCACATGTACAATTGTCCTGCATATCATTGAAATTCTTTGTTCAAGAGATTCTATTATTGATATACATAGATTGTGTTTAGCACAATTTGACTTCATCATAAAGCTGCGCTGGTGAGAGAGAGTGTAAATAAAACTCTCTCTCTCTCTCTCTCCAATCGACCACAGAAGCACTTCTTCAAGTGTTAAACTTGTCTTCTTTTTTTTTCTGTAATAAAGACTGTGATTGTTTGCAACTCGGCATTCAGTCTCTTTCTTTTGTGCCAAGATTCAGCCAAAGACGGAGAAGATCCAATAATTGTTCTGTAATACAGTATTCGACAAATCCTTCTGTAGGCTATTCTGAGGGAAATCAGGGCAAACTAAAAATGCAACATTAGTTTAACTTAATTATCGCTTGCTCCTATATGATAAGACAATGGATATATAATTTATTAGAAGCTAAGCTGGAAAATTACTTTAGCTAAAAATAAGTGTATACTGTATGTTGTGTAGTGAAGGAGATTTTTAATTAAAGTATTCATTTCGAGTTCCACAGAGAAATATGTAAAAAAAAAAAAGTTATATACATTCCAAATTTCAGATATACATGAAAATTAATTGTTTTTTAGTTATAGTAAAATGTTTTAATAATATTTGAAGATTATTTACTAATAATTAAAATATCTGATGTCTACCGTAAATATCTCCTTAAACTTGCAGTACCGTTTCTTTATTCCAAAAATCTCTGATTAAATTTAAACTTCCTGAAACGTTCTATACTTCTACAGATCTAAAAGTTAAGGTAGTTAGCCTACCGGATAAATTTGTGTTCTTCTAATAAGCTTTAACTAACGTATTTAGATTTCTATAAATGTTTTGTCCTTCTAGAAAGTCTCAGGTAACCTTTTGTAGACTTTTTTTATGGTCTTAAGTTTTTAAGTAAATATATTTGAATACAGGAAAGTTTCATTGATCCAGAAGTCTTTCTTAAATATATTTAACTCCAAAAAAAGTTTGTTATTCTAGAAATTCTCAAGTAATTGTGTGTATAATTATCCATGATCTAGAATTTCTAAACTGAATGTATTTACTTCTTCCAGAAAAGTTTTGTTTATCGAGAAGTTACTCAGTTATGTATTTATCATCCTCGTTATTCCAGAAGTCAGCTGATTCAGCTAGTTCTGTCTTATACAGAGTAGCGTGGGATATCCGTTTAACGTTTATCTAATAATAGCCAACGGTTTGTCTAACCGAATACCATCAGGCAGTTTTTGTTTGTTGTTTCCCCTTTTATGGCTGACGTCATCGATTTACATATTTCCCATAATTCATTCGAAGGAGGTGTTAGAAAATTGGTACAACCTAGTTTATGTCTTGTGAAGCGTGTAGGTTTACCATTATTAATTAATTAAGTTGTTTTGCCTTATTATTTTATCTTACACACAGTTCTAAAATACTTGCAGTAATAATACGTACCCTACACACCTATGGCTAGCAATAGTCTTTAAAATGCGAATGTATTAACAATGTAGAGGGAATTCCTCCAATATAAAGCTAAAAGCTTATTTTACGAATGAGCTTAAATGTATAATTTGATCAACTTATGAGTTTACATTTGTATTTCTAAAATGGGATAAAACCTTTTAAAACAGACTGCAAATCTACGAAAACAAAAAATATATGTGTGTGTGCGTAATTTAGAATCCAACATGAATAAGAATAACTTTACGTATTACACTATTGTGAATGGAAACTCAGTACAGATGAGGTGACATTTAACTTATTCGATGTGAGAGACAGCGCATTATTATTTTGTATACTTGTTCTAATACTGTTATTAAATTGTGCATATGTTTTAGAAAACTAACTTTCAGTGTTTATTTTTAATAAAATTCACTTGAAAAGCTTTTCTACTAAAAGCAAGTTATTCTGAATGATGAATGTTAATACAGACGACGATACCTTAGAGATGTAGGAAACAGATTTCACTAACGTTTCATCAAGTGTTCCCTGTTGAAAATTTTCTTCATTCATGAAAAGTCGTTCTTATGTTGGGCGGGAATGGATTACATGAACAGAGCCTGTACGGTCGACTGGTTAAGCCATTTACTAGCTTCCTGTGTCGTCTCCACAACGCGACTACACATAATCATAAAACCATTCAGTGCATGTTCGGTTGCTGTCGGAATCCGTGACGAGTGACGAGACGTCGGTGCTATTTTTACTTTAACGAGTAGCTGCTTCCTTGTGTGTAGATAAGTCTACGTGTAAATATACAGAGCTATGACTAGTCCGCTTACTACCTCTTCCCTACAGTAAAATAGGACATTGCTAAAACTATCAACTTTAGCAACTGCTTGTTTACTTGCAATGGCATATTAGCTATTTTCAGGTTATCTGGATATTACCGGTTGTAAACAGTTGTGTGTTTCTATGCTTACCAAACACTCAAGAACTTCTCATATGAATGGAAATTCCGTGCTGAACGAAGAGTGAGCAGCTGTGTTGTAAGCAGTATAACTTAAACACTAGAAATGCCTTGGTGGCGTGTCATCTGTTGGTGCTGCAACAGGGATATGAATAAGAATTCACCCGATCCGAAAAACGAATCAGCAGAACACGAGGTATGCATCACTTTTATTTAAAAACGGAATATAGAAAATACGACATTCAATATAAGCTTATTTCATATTTAGAATTGACTGACAGCACTTAAAAGCTAATAAACCTTGTTCTTTAAGATAAATAGGTTCAGCATGCTTCATTGCTTGCTTGTAAAATGTTTTTTATTTTATTTTATTTGGATACTGGGTTTAAATTTTCTTAACAAATGAAGTAATGGATCTTAAGGTATTCGATAAATTCGATGAATGACAGTAGTATCATTTATCTGTTCTGTTCTAGCTGAGGGAATGTACTCATGTTAAATTGGTAAAATACAAGGGTTAATTGATCCCACGTGTTCAAATTCCAGCCCAAGTAGAAACAAAGTGTGAATTTTGAATATTACGTGCCAGTATTTTACTAGTGGTTGATGATGTAAATATTTAATATTACATGTGCACTAATAATATTAACAGTTGTCATGTTATCTTCGATGTCAGTATCTTATTATTGGTTGATTATATAAATATTTGATAATACACGTGTACTGATAACATTAAAAGCCACGTCATGTTATCTTTGACGCCAGTATCTTCTTAATGGTTGATTATGTACTCAATATTTTATGTGTGTACTGATAAATTTAACAGCCGCCATCTAGCCTAGCAACTTAGGTCTAGTTATATTCTAGGCCTATTAAGCGGTTTCCTAAAAAATTAAAAACGGGTCTTTTTTGAGTGCCTTAATAGTCCCCGCCTTAACGCACTCCTGCTGGTGATATAACTGAGGTTACTGTGGTCTTAATGGGTCCTCCTGTTTGCATCCTGTGCCATCCTTTATGGCTTGAGATTTAAATATTTTATGACCTGAGAATTTATATATACGTTGGTAGGTTTATTATATACAGTTTACATACAATTAATAATTTATTTTGAATACACGTACCTAAGTGTTTGTTAAATTATAATATCCAGTTTTAAATGTTTATTTAGGCTTCGAGATAAATTATATCGGTTCTGGCACATATTACATGTGCAAAGATAGAAATAAACTTAACGCTTGTATTAAAATATAATATTCATTTTGAAATACGTTACTTGGGTTGTGGTATAGATTATATCGTTTTTGGCATATCCTACATTGCCAGAAGATATAAACTTCCTCACTGTTTCGACTTGTTAATTCATAAAGTTACTATATTATACATATCAACTGATTAACATATCCTTATTAATGTATAATATAGTAACTTTATGAATTAGCAAGTCGAAGCAGTATGTGAGATAGGTATCCTCCTAACTAATAAGGATATGTTAATCAGGATACCTATCTCACATACTGCTTCGACTTGCTAATTCATAAAGTTACTATATTATACATATTAACTAACAAGGATATGTTAATCAGGATACCTATCGCACATACTGCTTCGACTTGCTAATTCATAAAGTTACTATATTATACATATTAACTAACAAGGATATGTTAATCAGGATACCTATCGCACATACTGCTTCGACTTGCTAATTCATAAAGTTACTATATTATACAATCTAACTAATAAGGATATGTTAATCAGGATACCTACCAATAAGTAAAAGAATATACTACAAAAGTGTGAGTAGATGCATATAAAGTGTATTTTTAACTAAATTATATCAACCATAGCATATTTAGTTTGAATGCTACAAGCAGTGAATTGTGATATTTCGAACCGAAAGTATCATTCGTTCGTTAAAAACAAACTTGAATCACGATTTATGCTACTAATTATCTCAAAAACTGGAATTTGCAACAAGATTTATGAAGCAAGATCTTGTTTGTTTTAAAGCCAAGTCACCATGGGCTATTTGCTATGTCCACCGCGGGGAACTGAACCCTGGATGTTAGCGTTGTAAGCCCGTAAACTTACCGCTGTCCTACCGGGGGACAACAAGATCTTACACTTTTCCTTTAGATCGTGATCAGGTATCTTGAAATTTTATTATTTGTTAAATTACTTAGTCTAGTGGTTATAGAGTGTAAGGGTACGGATCAGAAGGTTAAGGTTCGAACCCGTGATATGCCACTGAATACGCTCCATACTTTTAGCTGTGGGTGCGTTATAAAAGTGACAGTCATGCCCACTGTTCGATTAAGAATAGCCATGTAAGTGGCAGATGCGGCTGATTGGTTTCCTTCTCTCTGGTCAGTAACTCTAAATTGCCTATCGCTTGGTCGTTTAGTCTACGTGTTACATAAGGTGGTATTGAGGTTAAAATATACAAAGTATCGTTATTAAATGGTACGGGCTTACATTCGCCTGGATATGTTAAAAAATCACAAGTGCACGTGTTCCAAAATCTTTACTGATAAGACATTCTTTTCTTTCTATAATATTTTAATTTCTTAAACTGACTAAAAAAAAGCTAACATAGTGAACGAGCTATAAAAATGCGATTGAAATGTACAACTTTCTCCAACTATACCAGTAGAGATTTCTACAGCTGTTTCATATTTAAAAACAAATCGTTCAGAAGAGCCATACGAGTACACCTGGAATGTGTCGAACCGGATTGCCAGAGCCTATTCTACAAAAACCCATTTTTGTACTGTTCTCACTCATAAAGAATCACTGCAATGGATGTGAGTAGTGTCAAAACTATCATAGTTGTTCTAAGACATTCTATCTGTTTTATACAAGCCGAATTTCAGATATTCATGAAAAAAAATAACTGTTTTTTGAAGATTATTCATCTATTATTAAAATATGTGATGTCTGCCGTAATTATGGACCGAATGAACCCCCATACCAATTTTGATGAATATCCACCCACGGGAGGTGAGGTGGTGGTAAAAAAAACGCCCATAAAAGCTGCAAAACGCAAAAGTGAAAATTTGGATCTCCCCATTGACCCAATGAACCTCCGTACCAAATTCGTCGAAGATCCATCCACACCCTGCGAAGTAGTTACATGGACATACAACAGACAATACTATTATATTTATCTTGGTATATAGTTGTTATTTAGTATCCATATGAAGATAATAGTACTGTCTGTTGATGTCCATGCAACTACTTCGCAGAGTGTGGATGGATCTTCACCAAATTTGGTACAGAGATTCACTGGGCCATGAGGAGATACATACACATTTTTGGTTTTACATTTTGCGGTTTTTATGTGAGGTTTTGCATTATTTACCACTACTTCATCCCCTGTTGATGGATATTCACCAAATTTGGCTTGAAGGTTTATTGGGTCCACGCAGAGGTACATGCAAAATTGCGATTTTACATTTTGTGTTTTGCAGCTCTTAGAGGTGTTTTTACGTTTTTCACAATTACGTATAAGGGAGGCAACTTTTCATGTCCTAAGATAACCTTTCATTAACCATGAATGTACATAACTTCCAGTTAGCATATATATATATATATATGTTACGTCTCTGTGTTCGTTTGTTAATTTTCCGTACAATTTATTTCCGATGAAACTTAAGCGATACAAGTCTTTTCCTAGATAAAACTGGTTTATTCTTTCTCAATTCAACTTTACAATACACTTAATTTCCACAGCCACTTTAGATTAAACACACGCTATAATTCACAACGAACGATTCTGTGTCTGTCTCTATATCTGCCTGTCTGCAATTCAATCCCGATTAATTGTCTGGCGCACTTATATACAAGAATAGAGGGTGCCTAGCAAATACTAGATTCTTCGTGATGTTCCCCGATCTTTCTAGAACTCATTACGTGTTACCAGAACCACGTGACTTCCGCTGTCGTAACATATAGCTTATTCAGTATTATGGTATCTGTCGTATGCAGAAAATCTGTGGCACAGAAATTACAGTAATAAGCATATATAATTGCTATTCATTTTATGATATTAACATTTTATCATCTGAAAAACTTTTGAGCTAGCATAAGTTCCAGAAATTTTAAATTTAAATGAAATTAAGCTCTGAACCATAATATGAATAATGATTTATTTGGTTAAAAATCCATTTGTCAAGGGTTAACCCCACATTTCCAGTCTGTATAAATAAATTCTAGCCTATAGTTTTCCCCCTCCTCCTAATGTGTACATTACATATTCGGTTCATTTTCTATCATTTTTTTTTTTTTTTTTTACTCACATACTTTAGAAAGTGGACTGTAGCTTATCAGGTTATCCAAATATCTCCAATATTCACTTTGAAATGTATATAAAATGAAAAAGTTCAAGACTAATTTTCAATTGAACAAAATAACAATGTTTTAAACTTATACAGACAGTATTGACGCTTTACATTACCAGAGCCTTCCTTTATATCCATTAAACAAATATCACACAATCAGGATTACAATGATTCTTTACACATTCTGCAAGTCAGTTTAGCTGATCACTAAACGAGATGTAGAGTGCGTGGATAAACGGGGAGGGAAGCCAACATTCTGGTTGGAACTGAAGGAATACAAGGTGTGAACATGTGTTTTTCAGGTACATTTTAAAACTAATGATGGACGGAAAGCATAACCTTATTTATTTGCTGGCTCGGAACCAGTAAAGGAACGATGTGAACATAAAGGAGACAGACAATAAATTAGTGCAATAAAATAATATATAAAGCTGTTTCATTGTGCAGTCTGAGTATGCTATTTGTTTAATTACACATTATGCTGAAGTGTTATTAAACTATGAGGTACAATAAACATCTTGTGAAACAGTGGATGTAAAGACGTGGCACAACTTGATTTGTTTTAAAACTAACAGTAGGAATTGCATTCTTCAGTACTAAGAAGGAGATCGTTTCTTGAGTTTTATTCCTTTTCTTGCCTCCTCAGATCTTCTTCCGCTTTCCAAAAGTACAGAAAATTTAATAACTGTGTACTTGTCACTGCTTCATTGAATTATCACTAAATAAGATTACATAATGCTCGAAGTCTGTTTAAGAGTTATGTTAGGTAATGTAATTGAGGAACTACATTTTCACTCTGTCTCCCACACTGTAACAACTCCCACACTTGTATTGAGAGCTTTTTTTTTAATGGTAAAAC